TCAGCATTTGTTATTGTCTCCGTTGCGGTTTTAGTTACCAAGTCAAAAAGCTCATAAAGTGTGTCCTTGAACATCTGTTCTTTAATTCTACAGCTTTCCAGGTCTGTAGCTCGATTCTTTTTTAGAAGCTGATAGGAATTGTATATTTTTTTTAGAAGCTGATAGGAATTGTTTTTTTTCACCAGAATCAATTCTTTTGTGTTGGGATTCTTGCCTTATTTCACACAACAATCAGCTCTTGAATTGTATGATGAATGCTCTCCTTTATTGTGAGATGCTCTTTCAGATAATTAAAGAGGAGACACTGGAGGATATCTCCTATTGTTGCCAATCTTGATGATAAGAGCTGCTCAGATGCTTTCCCAATGAGCCATACCTCTGCAGAGCTTCTTGTAGTAACTGCCATAAGTGGTGATGAATCTGTTGATATAAGAATATTAAGTATAAGAAAATAAAAAAATTTGTTACCAGAAATAAAAAAAATAATCATTATAAATTGTTTATTGAAATACTGCAGACATGTGCCTATTACAAATTGGGCACCAAATTATAGACAACTAAAAAATATTAGATATATAAGTGAATTCATATAGCATCTGCTTTTTAGCAAGCATTAATTTATTTACCAGTGTTGAGATAGATGTTCAATTATGCAAAATTTACACAAAAATTTGTATAAATTCTTAAAAATTGAGTATTGTCTAAAAATGATGAAAATCATAGCGACCTCTGAAACTCTTCAGATTAGTCCAGTTTTTTGTATGGTTGTTCTCTAAGCATAGTCGAACAAAATTAGGCTTGTGAAGAGAATCTAGACATATTTTGAATTTTTACCACACAAATCTGGACCACCCTAATATATATACAATATATTTATGTGTAATAGTTTTACATATAAATACTAACACATATTTATATATAAATACACACACATATATATACATATATACATACATATATATGTATATTTATTTGAATTATTGTTAATGTGCAATACATTAACAATAAGTTCAAAAACACCAGAAGAATAAATAATATAGAAGGGTGAGGAAGAAAGAGAAAAACGGACGAAAGAACTGACCGGTAAATAGTGAGATGCGTCAAAAAAAAAAAAAAAATTATCAGCAGAAATATTTTTCCCAATTATTTTTGGAATAATGTCCTATGGTCAGATGAAAGTAAATTTAACTTTTAAAGTTTGGGTGAGATGGAGTAGGGAAAGTGTGGAGAACGCCGAAAGAAGAATTTAAAATGTATTTGAAACAAACTGTCAAACACAGTAGTGGCAACATGATGGCGTGGGGGTGCATAAATGCTGCTGGGGTATAATATTGGGTCATAATTCAATAAATTGGGCTTGGGAGGTGATGTCTTGTTCCAACAAGACAACTATTCCAACCATACAGCGCGTTCTATTACCACTTTTTTGATCAATAGCGACTTAAATAAGTTAAAATGGGTTGTTCAATCTCCAGATTAGAACCCAATTAAACATTTATGGGTTTTTTTAGAAAGAAAAACTCAAAATAGGAACTAATCAAACAAAAATTATTTAAAAAGTATAATACGGGAGGCGTGGGAGAGAGTCAGTTGTGATGTAATGGAAAAATTAGTTTATTCTATGCAAAGACGAGGCGTAGCTGTCATAAAACCAAAGGGAGGGCCGACAAAATACTAACTTAAACAACCCTCGGAATTAGGGTCGGCATTTGGCAATGCCAACCTAACTGCCGACCTAAAGATGTTTAAGGTTGGAAAAAAATCGCTGACCTCATTTCTATGTTTTATGGTGACCCCTTAGTATCAAATTTTTTTTGCCGAGCTGATGCCAACCTCAGGGTGTCTGCCAGATCAGGGAATTCAAATATCTACAAAAAAATCAGGGGATTATCAGGGAAATTAGGTTAAATTTTAGAAAAGTCAGAGAGAAATCAGGGAAAATGGCTCTTCATCAAACTTACATAACTTAAATAAGTTGTATATTGTACACATAATATAAAAGTTTATTTGGAAGATAGTTTTATGAACTTCTCTTGATATATTAAATGTGGGTTGTATTATTGTTTATATATTTGCAGTTGAAGAGCATTTTTCTAAACGAATCAGTCAATTTTATTGAAGTTGAGTTTGGGTAACTTTAAATTAAATAAAGGAAAACAGGTAAAAGTCAGGGAAATCCACCTTAAAATTTTGGCAGACACCCTGAACCTCTAACTGTTTGAAGTCAGCAATTTATTACTGACCTCAGTTTTTCAGACCTAGTTCCGAGGTTTGTTTAAATAGTAATTAATTTTTCTGTTCTGGATAAATAATTTTTTTGCATTAATCTTTATGTTTCAATAAAATGCTGCATAATTAATATAAGTGAATCATTTTTATTAATCAACCATTCACAAATAAAAATGTTATTTGTAGCACTCTCTAAAATTTAAAACAGAATTGTCCTTGAAGCTACAACTTAAAAAGGAATGCTAAATTTTGTTGACTTGAAAACTTACGTGTATAATTTAGCAGTGAAAACTGTTTTCCAAATTAATTCAAAATTGTTACAATATAAATGATTTCCAAAATTAATATATTATTGCATAAAAACTCAGTCATAATCAGGGCTGTGGAGTCAGAGTTGCTACACAAAATCGTGACTCCAATAGACAAACTTCTCGGTATTGCAAGTGCAAGTACAAAATATTCAATTAACCTTATATTCATATCAAACCTTCAAAGATCTTTTCATAAAATTGGCAACAAAAATTTTTTTTTTAATTATCGCATAACATTTTTTAAAGAGTTCAAAGAATTTTTCAAAAATTTTGCTTTGGAGTTGGAATCGGAGTCAGAGTCGTACTCTGAAAATTTCAATGATTGGAGTCAGAGTTTTTTTTTACGAATCCACACCCTTGGTCAAAATTTTGCAGAGTTAAATGATTATTGTAAGACATCAAATCACTTGCAAATAATTATTTTTATGCATTTAATGCATATTAAATGCATTGTAATTATTAATTAAAATGCTAACATTTTGCTCATTTATTAATCTATAATACTTACATATAACTTATAACATTAAAATTCCTGTCTACTTTTTTTTTACACAAAGAATGATTTATGTTTTCTTTAAAATATGCATTATGTTATAAAATTTATTTCTTACCATCTTGCAACATTTCTGATCATCGGACCAACATAAAAACCTAAACAATAAAATTAACTTTAAAATAAGGGGTTAGGAGTTTAATATATCTGGTCTGTTGTATTTATTTAATTGTATAAATAAAATATAAAGAAAATTAGTTTTTTAATTGTTATAATTAAGTGACAATTGTTATAATTAAGTGACATTTAAAAATACAAGGACTAGAAATGTCAGAGATAGATCATTTATTTTTAAAATATTTTTAGTTAGATCATTTCTTTTTAAAATATTTTTAGATAGATCATTTCTTTTTAAAATATTTTTCAATGGATCATTTATTTTTAAAATATTTTTAGATAGATCATTTATTAGAAGAAGTTTTGGAATTAGAATCGGCAGTTGAAGGTCTTCAATTATCTGACCAAAATAAACATAATGGTAACACAAATGAAAACACTAAAACAGAAACAAAATGGTGCAAATGCTAAGTTTACTTACATTTCTTGTTTTTTCTTCTTTTTTTTTATTTCCTTTTTTTTTTAATTTTTATGTTTTTCTTCCATTTCACACTTTTATTTCTTAGTTATTTTTATTTCTTTATTATAAAAGCTGTTAGAATTTTAAATAATTTAAGTCAAACGCTGTACATTTTTATATCTGCAGTGGCAGATATAAAAATATACTGCCCCTAGGCATTAGGGGGTATCTAGTGTTCACTACCACCCTCACACCTTTATATATCATAGATGAGTTTTTTCTGGGAATTCCTGGTATACAACAACGTATGCATTATATTTTTATGCAATATATTTTTTATAACTGTAGTTTTAGTGAAATGAGTTTTTGCAATTATTTTTTTTCTTTTTCTTTTTTTTTCTTTTAATTCATTTAAATGAACTTTTTTGAATATTATAAATTCCTTTTCGTAAAAAGTCAATTGATGTAAATTCCGTTTTAAAAGTTAAAAAAAAAATTTGTTGTCAATTATTACTATCATGAAGTAAAAATTATAAAATAAAAGTTAAGATTTTATCTGACATTTTTGAGATATTAAAAACAAGTTTCGCTGGTATGGGTATTAAGAAAAAGATAATAATGAATAGTATCATTCAGCCTATATAAGAAAGTTTTTTCCCTAACTGAACATTTAAATATATCACTTCATCATATTTAAATATTATTTGGTTTGATGTTTAAGGTACGATGTGTAATATGTAGTAATAAATTTTATTATGGAAGTGATGGTAAAAAAACTTTACTCAGTCACTCTAAGTCTAAAATACATCTTCAAAACTGCACAATGATTAAGTCAAACAAAGCTATACTGTCATCATATTTTATTAATTTAAATAAAACTGATTCATGTATATTGCTCTAGGCACTCCCAATAATGTTCATATTAGCAGTACTTGCACAAATAGAGTAAAGCCTACCATTAAATCTATTGTAAGTTTTAGAGACCCAACATCAAATGCAGAAGCTATGACACTCGCATTTATTTCGCATTATTATTAACACAATCTTCCTAAATCTTTAATATCTCACATGATTGAATATGCAAAGGAAATGTCTAAAGATCATCATGTTTCAAAAAATTTGAAAATGTTCAGAACAACTGCTTTGTATAAGCTGTGAGAAGGATTAGGTGAAGCTTTTCATGCTGAACTTGTTTTGAAAATATTTGTATGAAATGACTTGATGAAAATAAAAATGTTTTCCCTTAACATAGATGAGTGCTTCTTGGTAAAAAAAAAAGGAAGCTCTTAGTATACTTGTAACATATTTTTGTGACAAAAGTCTTTTTAATGCTGTCATTCATTTACTTAGAAAAGTCGCAATTCTATTAAGTTATCTAGTTTCCAATTTATTAGATTCTATTAATTATATGAAGGGAAAAATCAGTGGGTTTAAAACAAGATTAAAAAAAGCGGTTCCTCACTTATTTGATCTTGATGGTGATGTTTGTCATCATGTGCACAATGATGTTTTTAAGTTTAGCCCAGATCTTCCTACATTTCTGAAAAAAATTTATCAAATCATAGATGTCACATGCAATGTATTAAGATGAACCTGACAAATTTTAAAGAGGCTATCAAATAAAAGTAAAAAAACTAATAGAAAAAATAAAATGTAAAATGCAGCAGAAAAAGATAACAAAAAATAAAAGATAACAAAAAAATTTTCCAACGCAATGAACCAAAACTTTATATTAATTTGTACATTAAAATTCTTTTTATTTTTAAATGATTTATTTTAACTTTTAAACCAAAAAAAACTATTAGTCTATCAAATTTATGACAAGCTAATTGAACTGGTAAAAACAATTTTAACTTGTTTTATTAAGCCAAAGATGATAAAAAATATAACAGGTACAAATTTGAAATTTTTAAACCTAAAATATAAAGAAATGTATCACCATTTGAGTTACATATATTTTGGAAGTAATGCTGAAAAATATTTTTCAAGAATAATTATCAAAAATCATGATTTCAAATCATCAGTTTTTAAGACCTTGCTAAAAGCTTATCTTGAATCATCAGTTTACCTAATATATTTCTTTTTAACAATCATTTATTAAAATACCTCTCTGCGATCAACCCTATGTCTCTAAAGTCACTTTGAGCAATCATTAAGCATGATGAACACTATAGTTAACAAAAAGATAAGCCTTCTTGATACTTCAACATACTCTGAACACAAAACAAACAACACCACAGCACTAGTGTACTTTAAAAGACTAGATATATTGCATAATCCAGTTAAAAAAAACATTTATGCTCATTTGCAATCTAAGCAAATGCTATATTAAAAACAATGGAATTCCATCAGAAAAACAGAAAAGTTGAAAAATGTTTTTTTAATAAAAACTCAACTTGGAAAAAAAATTGCCTTAAGCAGTGCAAAGTAGTTAAACAAGTTATTAATCATGCAAAATAGTGACAAATGTTTTGCAACAGAAAATTATATAATTAAAAAGTGTTAATTTCTGAACCATTGTCTGAACATATATTTAAAAATTATTACGCTTTGCAGATTGCTTATAGTAAAACTGGGTAGTTTTTAGTTTGTTTGTTTTTTTTTAATTTGCATTCATTCTCAACAAGGCTGCAACCACTATTAAGTTGGGAGTTACTAGGAAAAAAAAAGAACAGAGTTATAGAGCAAGAAAACGGTTGACAGAAGACTTGAAAAGTTGAAGGTTGTATGAGTCAGGAAAACATGAAGATGGGAGAGAGTTCCAAAGGATTGAAGTGCGGGGAAAAAAACTAGATGAATAAAAGTTTTTAGAGCATGCAGGGACAGATACAGTAAACGAATGAGATGAAACGAGAATGAACTTTAGTTGATGGAACTAGAGATGATAACTCCTTTGAGCAGTGACCATAATAGTATTTGTAGAAAAGAGAAAGAGATGCAACTTTACGACGATGGGAAAGAGGCTCAAGCTTAGCAGATAGTCCAGGTCCAACAACATTTACAATGCGTTTTTGGACCTTGTCAAGAAGAGAAAGTGAATCGTTAGAAGAACCAGCCCAAATATGACAACAGTATTCCATACAGGAACGAATAAGAGATTTGTAGAGGTAGAGAATGGAATCAGAAGTAAGGAAATGGCGAGCACGATAAAGAGAAGCAACCTTAGCAGAAGCTAATTTAGCAATCGATTGTATATATGGTTTCCATGAAAGGTCAGTAGTAAGCGATAATCCAAGAAGACGTAAAGAGGAGGACTCAGTAGGAGGATCGCTATTCATTAATATAGGAATGTTGACCATATTACGGTAGTTGTTTGCAGTAAACAACTGGGTTTTTTTAGAGTTGAAATTCACAAGCCACTGTGAACCCCAATCTATTACTGAAGTGAGATCGAATTCAAGATCAGATGCTTGTTCTAGGCGATCAAAAAGAGAAGATCGTTTATGTAGATAAGAAACAAAACAGGGCCCAGGATGGAACTTTGGGGAAACCCAGAAGTTACTGGAAATAAAGAAGAGCGTTGGCCTTCAAGGATGACTGTAATAAACCGGTTAGAAAGAAATGATTTGGTAATCTCAAAAACTTTCCCAGAAACACCATATGAAGCAAGCTTATGGAGAAGACCAGCATGCCCAACTTTGTCGAAAGCTTTAGATATGTCAAGAGCAATAGCCCTAGCCTCACCGCCTCGATCTAATGCACGATAAAATCTTTCAATTACAGCAGTTAGCAAGTCGGCCGTAGAGCGAGAGGATAGAAAACCGTATTGATTTTCTGACAGTAGTTTATTTGACTCAAGATGAGATGTGAGGAATTTGTTGATCAAAGACTCAAAGACCTTGCTAATAACAGAAAGAAGACTGATCGGATGATAATTGGAGGGGTCAGAATTTTCTCCAGAGTTTTTGAATATTGGAACCACAGATGCCATTTTCCAACAAGCAGGAAAACAAGACTCATTCAAACACTTGTTAAATAGTTTAGAGAAAATTGAAGAAAGTTCTGGAGAACAATTCTGCAAGACTGTGACAGGAATGTTGTCTGGACCACAAGCTGTAGACGAGTTTAATTGAGATATGACTTTAGCAACAGAAGCCGGAGTGATTTGAATGTCTAACAATGGGTCAACCTGTTTGACTGGAATGGAAGGAAGAGAATGTCCATAAGATTCAAGAGTGGAATTAGAAGAAAAGTTCTTTGCAAACAGTTCTGCCTTATCCCTGGGAGAGGTAACAAGATCAGTCCCATGAATGAGAGATGGAATGTTAGATCTACCCTTGTTAACAATGCTGTTGAAGATTTTCCAAAAGTCTTTAGAGCCTAACTTCTGCGATAAGATGCGAGATTTAGTGAACTGAGAATAATGGAGTTTAGCATCAGAAAGCACCTTTTTACATCGATTTCTTGCAATAACAAATAGCCGTTTGTTCTCAAGAGAGTTGTTCTTTTGAAAAAGATAAGAAAAATGATTACGATTGGATATAGCAGCCGCACAAGAAGGAGAAAACCATGGAGTAGAATGAGGCTTGACTTGAAACCGACGAGAAGGAATAAAAGCTTCCATTCCAGCCTGAATCCAGGAGGTTACGTTTGAGGCGCATTTGTCAGCTGAGAGAGAAAAAACATCAGCCCAAGGACCATCACGAAGAAAATCACGAAAGGAATTCCAGTCAGCTTTAGGGTAGTAGTAGGTGGTGCGATGATAAGGTGAGCCCAAAAAAGAAGTACGAGAAGAAAGATTTATAGAGATCATTGCATGTTCAGAACCACCTAAGGGAGAAAAGAGAGAAACTGAACATAAGCTAGGGTCAGAAGCAAGACATAAGTCAAGGAGTGAAAGTAAATGATTAGGGTCGTCAGGAAAACAAGTCACAAAGTTAACTATCCGAGTAAGAGATTGAGAAATGCAGAAGTTAAAGGCTTTAGTGCCAGCAGGATCAGTGATGTTTGAGCCAACCCATTCAGTGTAATGGGCATTAAAATCACCACCAACAACAATATTGGCAGAGGGGTAAAGAGAGAGGGCATGGTCAATTTGATCAGAGATAACATCTAAAAGAGTGCAATCATGGGAAGAAGGAGAATGATAAAGGACAAAGAGAAAGGTGATATAGTGAAGAGGTGCTAGGTGAAAGCACATAAAAGAATGGTCAAAGGATTCGAACCTGATTTCACGACAAATAGGGGAATTAATGCGTATGTATACCCCTAAACCTAGCATGTGACTATTGGAGTCTTTACGAATCAAAGGATAGTACCCATCAACACTGACATCTGAAGAAGGAATTGCAGAATTTAAATTTGTTTCACTGAGTGCAAGCAAGTCTGGTGAATTTTGCAGGAGGTAAGACTCAACTGACAGAAAGTTGCTTCGCAGACCGCGAATATTTGTAAAAAATATATTAAAACATATGGGTGGTGGAGATGGTTTTTTAGGTGTAAAATTTTTGGTTACTTTTGTCATGATTTGGGTTTAATGAGAACTTGACTCATTCATAGATAGAGCACAGCCTTCTAATCAATGAGCTATGCAGTTGTCTCAGTCCTGTTAATTAACCCTAAGCCATGACATAGGGCTCCTTATGTGGCCTTGACAATGCACACCAAAAGCATTAACAGGGACACCATCCATGCGCAACATGGCACTGTTAATACTCTGATATTTTGCAGCTGTTGATGGAATCAGCCACTCTGAGGGCTACCACAGAGTTCGGGAAACTTTACTACCAGTCGGCCTCAGAACCATTAAACTGAGTTTTAGAGCTGTACCCTCATATGGAGATAACAGGAAGAGTTGCATAGACATTATCAAGGAGGCATAAGCAAAATTCTATGAGTAGAGTCAAGGAGATCCAGCATTTATCATCCTAGGCAGGAAACAATGTAACACAGGTTACATCTATGCCAGCCTAATAGATGAAGAAGGGGTTCGAGGCTGGTTAGCAGAATTTTTCTGCTTACCCCTAAAATCTTTGCCTAGGAGGTCTTCTACAAGACAGTAGCTGGATGCAGTTAACATCTGCTCAAGATGAGTATATTTATCGAGACACCATCTCTAGCCTTTACTCAACCAAGAGTACCAAGGCAGGGGATGTTTAGCTGGATGCAGTTAACATCTGCCCAAGATAAGTGTTTTTATTGAGACACCATCTCTAGCCTTTACTCAACCAAGAGCCCCAAGGCAGGGGAATTTTTAGTCTGAGTTTATTTCTCCTAGCCTTTGCTTAAGAAGAGCACACTCTGCAAAGCAGCAGGGCTTGTGGCAGGTGGTACTAGGTTACATAATACCAGTAGCATAACATTGATCTTGATTATCCAGACCTGACCTGGAGTAGTTAAAAGGAATTACCTCCCGCAACAGTACTTTAAGAAAACCAGGCATGACATTTTGGAAGTGCATTAGGAAAAACACTGCATCTAACAAAATACAGTAGTCTAAGGTGAGTGTAGGTTTTGTAGTTGGAGTAAGTAGCTAGTTACTGAGCTCACGCTGCATCGGAGAATAAACAGAACACAAACAAACATAAATCAACTTACGGGTGAGTCAACACCACGCCAGAGGTTCAGACAGAACACAAACATACATAAAAAAAAACATGGTGAGCTAATACAGTAACTAAGGCACCTCTAACTATAAAAAAAAATATATTATTAAAGGCATGACTGATATAAGATAGTACTGATAACAGGAAGCACACTCCTTCCAGCCTTTGCTTAGAAAGCAAATCCTGCAAGGCAGCAGAACATGGAACAGATTGCCAAGGCAGCAGAGCATGGCAGCACAACATGGAACAAGGACATGGCAGCACAATATGGCACAACATGGACAAGGCAGCACAACATGGTACAGGTTGAACAGTTACTTTATTTACCCCTTTACCAACGTTTCAAAGTTAATTTTTAAAACTCTGATATAGTTTCAAGAATTTGCTTTTAAAATAAAATAACTTTTTAAATAATTTATTTAGAATATCTGTTATAAACCTTTCTATCTTTGAGTTTATCAAATTACTTTTTTCTCTTTTGATTTCCATTTCAATCTTCTGTTCATAACTAGAGCAAACTGAAATTGTCACAACTTCTTGAAATCTATAAAAAATAGTTTTTAATTTTCCAACAACTATCTATAAACAAATGGCATAACTGAACAATAGAAATTAAATTTGTATTAGTGGCCTGTAATCTGGTATTTACACTTTTAAACTGTTCTAAAATAGTTTCCTGTTTGTTGTGTTAAAAGTTTGTTTGTCTAGTTGATGTCTGTCTTTTAAATATCTTTTCATATAACAAGTTTAATTACAAATTAAATTTAATTACAAATTAGAAACAAATTTAATTACAAACAAAACAAATTTAATTACAAATTAGAAACAAATTAAATATCTCTTTATATAACAAGTTTCTTGAACAAATTTTTTTCATATTTCACTGCAAAATTTAAGTATTCACTTTTTTTTCTAGCTTATAAATGTTTAAAAAATGACTAATTATATTTTTATTGGTATTAATTATTAAAGTTTGTTATAAAATAAAAATTTTTCTTCAGGGATCAATTTGCTGAAGGGCACGCCATAGTTAAATCGGGTATTATTAAAAAACGAAAGGTATTATATTCTGTTGCTTTTTTTTTTTTTTGTAGAACAATCCTTAATACAAATATAATTTATTGAAAAATTTTTATTTATATTTTTGTATGGAAATAGCTTATTTTTATATTACAGGGTTATTAATTCTTATATGCGCTTCTATTCATTTTTATATGCGCCTTTATTCATTCTTATATGTGCATTTATTCATTTTTATATGCGCATTTATTTATTTTTATATGCACATTTATTCATTCTTATAGGCGCATTAACCTATTCTTATATGCGCATTTATTCATTTTTATATGCGCTTTTATTCATTCTTATATGCGCATTTATTTATTCTTATATGCGTTTTACAAAAGCAATTGTAAAAAAGCAATTTGAACAAAAAAAATCATTTAAGCAATTTGTTTTGAAAAAACAGTTTATTTTTCAAACAAATTTTTTTGATTTCCTGGTAAATGAGGTTAAAAATTATTTTTAACCTCTTCGCTTTAAGTATGTTTAAAGTACTTAAAGCGAAGACTTTTTACATTTGACGATGGTTTATTTAATTTAACATTAGTTCTTTGTTTAATTTTATTACATTGTATTAAATTGTATTATTGTATTAAATTTCTTTTTTTTTTTTTTTTTATTTTAATTCACCTCCTCAAGGCCGAGAAGGCCACTACAGCGCTCTACCACTACACCTCTACCGCATTCTTGATTGATTAAGTTATTATTTATCGAATTATTTATTTATCTAGATCTAATATTTAATTATTTATAATTATTAATAACGAATAACCATATGTGCTGTTAGTGTGCACATTAAATGCAGTTTCATCTAAATAAATAAGTTTTCATCTAAAATTCTGTTGGTTTCGCTTGCAAATGCATAGCGTGCATTAATAATTTTTACCCTATGGATGAAATAGAAAATAGCAGTACCAATCGTAAAACAAGGAAAAATCTTATAAAATAGCACATTAAAATGCTTAAGCATTTAGTTGAAAGAAATCAATCTGCAACAAGCATTTCCACTTCTCTTAATTTATCAAAGCACACAGTTCAAAATCTTGTTGTTAAGTTAAACAGAGGAGAATTCGATAACATGACTGCATTCAAGTCCTTTTCTGATAAATAACGAGGTGAAAGACCTATAAACGTTCAAATAAAAAATATTATCGAGTTATGCATACAAGAAAACAATCGTTGCACGCAAGAAGCAATAAAAGAAAATCTTTCTGCAGCAGGCTTCAACATGTCTCAGTCCATGATTGTCCTACTATTTCAAGAAAACTCAAACGCTCGGATTTATCAAGAAAACATGATGCACATGTGCCAGAAGAACGAAACTCAACACGAGTCAATAATGCACACTATGCAATTGCAAGCAAAATAAACAGAGTTTCAGATGAAAAACTTATTTATTTGGATGAAACTGGATTTAATGTGCACACTAACAGCACATATGGTTATTTGCTAAGAGGTGCGCCAGCAATTTTACAGTCACCTGCAAATCATAGTAAGAATGTTAGTTTAATTTGTGCTGTTTCAACAATGTGAGTGCTTGCTTATGAAACAAAAACTGGAGGCTGGAATGCAGATTCATTTTGTACTTTCATAACTACAATGATGGCACCAGGGATTAGGAATGCAAATGTGAAAGTGCCGGTGCTTGTTATAAACAACTGTAAATTCCACTGGAGTCTTTCTGTTAGGCAAACACTAGCCTCTCATGGTATAGCTATTAAGTATCATACACGCCACAGCTTAATCCAATAGATTTTTTTCTTCTTTAAAAACATACTTACAAACAGCGAGAAAGGCTCAAAATACGGATGAGGTAATCAGGAAACTTAAAAATATTATGGATACTACAAGTTTAATTTAGTTCCATTTTACAACCATATGCGTAGTTACATAAATCCAGCGCTGACTCGGCAACCATTTCTTAAATAAATAACAATGAAAACAACCTAATTTATATTTTAAATATATCTATATAAAAATTTAAAAGCTATTTATTTTTTATATTAAATTATATTAGAGATTTTATGGGTGGTTGACCCGCATATAAACGCGCATATAACAATGAATAAACACGCATATAAGAATGAATAAATGTGCATATAAGAATGAATAAACACGCATATAAGAATGAATAAATGCGCATATAAGAATGAATAAACATGCATATAAGAATGAATGAAGGCGCATATAAGAATGAATAAACACGCATATAAAAATGAATAGATGCGCATATAAGAATGAATAATCCTGTAAACAGTTTATATTTAGTTAAAATAAATATTTAGTATAATTTTTGTTTCACTGTTATTTCTACATTTTGTATTAAATAGTTTTGTTTCAATATTGTATTAAAAATGTTTATTATTTCAATGTTAAGTTTTGTTTCATTTCAAGGTTATATACCTTAATTTAAGTTGAATTTTTAGGGTTTGTTTGCTAAACGTCGCCAATTTTTGCTTACATATGGTCCTGAACTTTACTATGTTGACCCAAGTGCCATGGTGTTAAAGGGAAAAATTCCTTGGTGAGTTATTGGTTATATTGTTTATTAATTTTTGTTTAAAAATCATCATAATGGAAATTCTAATAATTGCATAACAAGAAATAACAGCTAGGGAGCTATATTAGTGTTTCAGTTTACTTTATATAACAGTTAATCTGAAGGTTTTCTATTGTTCCTGTTCACTGCTTACAGTTTACACTGTTATATATTATTTGCTGGTGTAATATATCCTATTGGTTACTCAATAAAGCCCTGAACACTAAATACTTGCCAAGTTAATTTTGGATTGACTTGACCATTTTTTTACAACCATTGGACCAAAAGTGAGTACAGATTGTGGAGAATGTTTCAGGTTGTTACACTTAAAAGCAGTGGTTAATTTGGGAAAAAAGAAGTAGGGGAACTGTAGACAGGGTCCTAGGCAAGGTGTGGTTTATGGGGAGAGAAAGGGAAGGGGTTCTTGGGGAGGGGTCTTGTCCCCTCCCCACCAGTTAGGGGGTCTAGGGAGTATTGTAAGCTCTCCTTTGGGACCTTGGGCTTTGCCCAAAGGTCCATGGCACTAATATATCCTATTGGGACCTTGGGCAAAGCCCAAGGTCCCAAAGGGGAGCTTACAATACTCCCTAGACCCCCTAACAGGTGGGGAGGGGACAAGACCCCTCCCCAAGAACCCCTTCCCTTTCTCTCCCCATAAACCACACCTTGCCTAGGACCCTGTCTACAGTTCCCCTACTTCTTTTTTCCCAAATTAACCACTGCTTTTAAGTGTAACAACCTGAAACATTCTCCACAATCTGTACTCACTTTTGGTCCAATGGTTGTAAAAAAATGGTCAAGTCAATCCAAAATTAACTTGGCAAGTATTTAGTGTTCAGGGCTTTATTGAGTAACCAATAGGATATATTAGTGCCATGGTGTTAAAGGGAAAATGGTCCCCTTTGGGACCTTTGGGACCAGTCGCCAACGCATTTTACATAGTTTTTAGGGTATTTTGTGGCTTCTCATGCATCTGGAAAAGGTACTTTCATTTTTACTTTTTTTTTCCTACGAACAAATGACCATGTATGCCATTTTTGTATGCCAGTATTGCCGCAGTCAAAGGGTTAAACTAGAACGCAAGCGAGGCGCCGCTTTGCGTGCAGAATTATAAAATAAATAATACCGCCCAGAATGCATAGTACACCAATTTTGAAGTAAGGGTACGATTGGATTGTCCTAAAGAAAGTAAGGGAATGCCAATTTCTCCCCCTCCCCCCTGTTCCCCTGCAAATTAACCACTGCTTAAGAGTACAGATTGTGGAGAATAATGTTTCAGATTGTTACTTTAAATCAGTTATTAATAACAGTTAAAAAAATAGTTTTCTATCTTGTTTCTAGAAAAGTGGATGGTGTCATTTTTTAAATGGGTGCCTTATAAAATATATTAAATTTCCTATATATTAGTGTTTTAAAAATGATGAAAAATATTAAAAGATATAAATACTGTTCAGAGATTTAAAAAAAAAGAAAGAGTGTAATAAAAATACAGAATAATAAAGACCAAATAAAAAATATAAAAGTTTTGTTTCAATGTTTTTATATGTATTTACAATAAACAGATTTTTTTTTCTACAAGATATTTGTTGATGGCAATTAAACACAAAATCATTTTTTTTTTTTAATCAAGTAATTTCAACTCATTTCTTCGCACAGCGACCTTGTTTGTCAAGGTTTGTGTTTTGGATTTATAGAGTTAAGAGAGGGTTATAACCACAAATAAATCGCCTCCTTGTCTGTAGTGGCCTTCTCGTCCTAGAGGAGATGAATTTAAAAAATATATATTTTTCTAAATGAAGTTTTATTACAAATTTATGCATGAAATAAAAAAATTTATAAAAAGTTTTTTAATTAACTTTTCTTTTTTCTTTTTTTTTTTTCCATATTTGTTGATAATCATAGTTTGGTAGTTACTTTTGCTGAAACATTTTTTATGTTTGTTGTTGTTGAATAGGTTAAAATATTTTCAACCAAAAGATAAAATTTTAACCAAACGTTTTTCAACAGAGTTTAACATGGCCTTCTATAATTAATACATATTTCTATAATTCTTTTTTTTTTTTACCTTGAGGAGTTAAATAGCAGAATTATTTTTACAATGTATGTTTGCATTATCTTGCTGGAAAGTTTAATTGTCACTGAACAGTTTTATTTTCCAAAGACTTTGTCATAATTTAGAACAACTAGTAAAGTTTTTTCTAAACTTTCTAGTCGACTATTTTTATAAATTTGCCTAAAATGATCCAAGTCGTAACTTCTGTCATAAACGTAGCCATGACCTAATTTTTTTTTCCTCATATTTCATCAATTCATCTTGTTCCATCAATCTTAGTTCTGTTGGTCCACTTTGTTCCATCAATCCACCTTTAGAATTGGATTACATTTAGAATTGCATTATTCTTAGTAATTGTTATTATATTTAGAATAGATTATTATTTACCGAATAAACTATACAAATATTAGTAATAGAAACTTTTCAATGTATATATTATAAAGTTTTTATTACTAATATTTTTTATTCTTTTTTTTTTTTTTTTTTTAATTTTTTTTTTTAGGATAAGATTTTTAGGTCATAAACAATGGACTCCTATTTTTTCTTTGTATTTTAATATATTTTCAAAATTTTTCTTTTTGACCCATTATTTTTGACCTCAAGATCTAAACTAAGAATCCCCAAAAATTTATAGAACTTTGCATTCCACCTTTTAACTCACTTTTAAGTATTTAGCTAATCAAAACTTTTAAAATGATTTTACTGATATTTTAAACAAACGGTATGTGGCTGACCAGGTGACCTCCCCAAAGCTGGAAGGGCAGTTGAGTTAAGGAGGCTACTTTATTATGGTTTCAATCCTCATTGGTGTTTCAAAAAAAATAAGACACCAAAAACTTACAAGTTCTTATAAGTCTCTGGTAGTCCAGAGACTAATAGTTTTTTTTTTTTTAGGAATCGAGACTTAAGACCAGAGGCCAAGAACTCTAAAATATTTTTTATTCATACAGTAAGTTTTTAACTTTTTTTTTATTATTTAATTTTTTTATATTTATTTTTCTTTTATAATATATTTTTACTTTTTTTTTACTTTTTTATACTTTTTTTGCAATAGTTTAACATTCCATAGAAATTAATTTTATTGCTGAATTGTATTTAATTCCATTTCAATTTCATAGTTCCATTTCAATGTCAGAAAACTAAATAACAACAGTATGTATATTCTTTAAAATCATTCATTACATTAAAATAAATATTATAATATTAAAACTAACAGTAATAGTATTTATATTTGAAGTAGTAAAACAGTTATGATTGATAAAGATGGTGTTACTCATACAGAAATCTGATCAGTAGTGACACCAAACAAATGAGTGACCAACATTTAAAAGATATTGTATGTGATAGACTTAGTCATTCATCATCATTATTAACTTAGTTTTGCGTTTGTAAAGGTTGGAGGTTTTTCATAATTTCTTTAATTTAAATGCTTTTGAGCATCTTTTTTCTTTATATGAAACTTTTTTTATGTCATTTGTAACTCCCCCTGTCTGTGTTTTTTTACTTTATGCTCTACCTTTTTTCTAAAAATATTTTTTTTCTAAAAGCATTCAAGGTACATACTGGTACTTAATCATCTAATCATCTATATGCAGCAATCATCTACATGCATCTAATCACCTACGTGCAGCAAGAATAAAGTGGTTTCAGTGTTTAGCTCAAATCCTTATTCTTGTTGTCTCTTCTGATCCACCAGTCTATCAGCAAACAAACTGTATATTTAGGAAAAGTATATTTTCTATACTCAACAATATTAAAAGCATCTTGTATACCTCTTGATTACTTTGGAACTACAAGCATTACAAAAAGTTTGCTCATGTTTCTTCCCATTGAATTAGGCAGTAATAAAGGCGCTCCGGATGTTTCTTGAGGTCTTTTTAAGAATTATAAAAAATCTTAAGGAGTTTGCTTGCTTTCCATCTATAAGACAAAATATATACCAAATTAAAAAAAAAAGGCTTCCTTTAATTTTATATAGTTTTTAATTAACAAATTTAATGTTTATGTAATCATGTTTAAATATTTATTTTTCAATCTTTCATAGCAAAAAATTCACACATTAGTTACTTTTGGCACTTTCCAGCATTTTTTACTTGCTTATTCTTGACTTAACAATGCCTATTTGTTTTATTCATGTTTGTTTCTAATCCTTTTTATTCTAGTTTATCTTTCTGACACTGAAATCTTAGTAATAATTTTTCTTCATTTTTTGCAATCAACCGTAAATCATCTCAAATTCTTTCTCTCTACAAAGTCCAGTCGTGGTTTACCATGGGAATAAATTTGTATTGTAAAAATCACTATTCTTTTCATATTTTTTACTAATACAAGATTGTATTCATAGTAAGCATAAGATTGTATTAACATATAAGAATGTAAGCATAAGATTGCATTAACATATAAGAATGTTATAATAATATAAACAATAATAATATAAAATAAATAATAATAAAACAATATAAATAACAATAACAACAGAATAATGCTTTCAATATATCTAAAGCTTTCAATAAAGTTTGGAATGCTGTTTTTCTTCATAAGCTTGCTTCATATGGTGCATCTAGGTTAGTTTTTGAGGTTATCAAATCATTTCTTTCTAACCGTTTTATTAAAGTCATTCACAAAGGCCAACACAGTCTTTTGTCAACTGTTTCCTTTTTCTATAAAAATATTTTTTATTCTCATGTAATTCCCATCTTAAAAAGTATTTGCTTGTAGCCTTGTTAGGATAAAATTGGTTTTCAATATATATTTTAAATAGAAGTTGACAATATTTTTTAGAAATGTTTAATAACAAATTTAGCATAAAGTTAGATAAGTATTCATGTATTAACTTAAACATGTATAATTAAATCAACTTTATTCTGAATTTTACACCTCACAAAGTATTTTACAAATGATAGATTATTGTAAGAACATCATCAACTCCATGGTTTGAAATTAAATCATTTTAGTTTCTTGGTTTGAAATTAAATCTATTATTTCCATGATTTGAAGTTAAATCTTTTAGCTTCATGGTTTGAAATTAAATTTATTAGTTTCATGGTTTGAAATTAATTGTAGCAGTTCCATGATTTGAAATTAAATATTAAATCTATTAGTTACGTGATTTGAAATTAAATTAACTAGTTCCACATTTTTATCATAAATTAGTTTTCAAGTCTATTCCTAATTTTCTCAATCTTTCCCTGCCTTTACAATATTTATAAAAAGAAAAATTACACCGACAAAACTTTTGGCTTTGAGCATGTCATTTTAACTGTTGCAATTAAAGTTAAACAAGTTTAAAAATTATTATTAAAGATTGCATCCCGATCTTTGATAATAATTTATTTTTGTGTTTTTAATTAATTTAGCCGCGTCGAACATATTACTTAGAAGACCCTGAAAGTAATGCCATGGCTTGGGTAAAAGAAATCGAAAAAGTTCACAAACATTACTTTACTCCAATAAATAATTCTAGCTTTATGGTGTGATTCGCTTTTAATGCTTTATAGTTTAACTCCAATATCAATTAGCAAAGCTCCACCGTAAATATATCAAACAAAATCAGAACGTTTACCATGTACTTTAAATTACTTTAAATAAGGTTGATAATTTTTTTTTTTTCAATCTCGGTTATTTAGTTTACGTTTATTTATTGAGAGAAATATTTAAGGATAAATTACTTTTTTAACATGAGTTGAAAATACTTAGTTAAAATTGAAAATACTCAGTTAAAATTGAAAAAACTTAGTTAAAATTGAAAAAACTTAGTTAAAATTATACAAAATTGAAAAAACTTAGTTGAAATAAACTGCTGTCAGACAATCAATACGGTTTTCGATCCTCTCGCTCTACGGCCGACTTGCTAACTGCTGTAACTTGTTACTTATTTTTAAATCCAGTTATAGTTTAACTTTAATTATAACTAAACTATAATTATAACTATCAATAATGCTAATTTATTAATAATGAAAACTTTATAATTATGTTTGATAACTCAAACTTTTACTAAGTCATATTTTCAATCTTTTAGAAAATAATATTTTAGAAAACGTGAACACGGCCGTATGCAAGTTTTATAATAATGCTGAAAAAGTTTCAAAAACAAAAAAACAAAACTAACAAAATAAAAAGAGATTGAAATAGAAAAAAATAAAAGCAAATTAATAATTTAAATAATTTGTGTACTGTTTTTATTTTTGTTTCTTTAGAGTTACATTCATTAAATAAAAGGAAGCAAAAAAAAAAAAAACAGCTTGAAGTCTACTATAAAAAGATTTTCCTTTTCTTAATTTTTTTAAGAGGATAGCAAAAATACAAATTGCAATGTGTTTGTAAAATTTATTTGTATAATTCTAACGTAACAACAAGGGTTGTATTAAGCGAATGCAAAACGCAAAGTCTAGAAAAATATCTAGTAATCAAAATTTTAGTTCATACAAAACCGTGTTCCTTGTTTTTAAGGGGAGAATCAACTTAAACTTACGATAACAAAAGTAACAACACTCTAGTCACTAACTGCATTACAAAAGTAATAACACTATAATAGTGTTATTACTTTTATAACACACTTATAACTTTTAATTCATTCATTCTTTGTTAAAGCAACATTAGTATTCCCAAATATTAATTGAAGTAGAAAAATATCTAGAAGAATAAAGTGGATGTTTAAAAAGTATTAAAACTAAAGTAACTTATAAAATCGTGACAAACAACTTTATGAAAACGTATCGTATTAAAAGTTTAGCTTTATGAAAAACGTTACTAATGGACCGTAAAAACCCGCGTTGTTTTTAAAATTAACCAATAAAAATTTTTATTGGTTGATTTTAAAATTAACGCGCGTTTTTACGTAACGTTTTTCATAATGCTATACTTTTTATAAAGTAACGTTGTTTAAGCGATATGTGAAAGTTCCTGAAATTTTTAATAATATTTGAATATCCGCTTTATTTTTTCTAGATGCTTTCCTACTTTAAAAAATGTTTGGAATTAATGTTGTTTGAACAAAGAATGAACTTTAAAAGTAATAAGTGCTTTATAAATGTAATAACACTATTATAGTTTTATTACTTTTATAATGCAGTTAGTGACTAAGGGGCTCATTACATGAGGTGAATTCAACCCGGGATGAAAATTCAGCTCGGTGCCGGGTTGAAAATTGTTTACTATTACATAGACGTTTTCATACCGCTGCAACTTTCAGTTTTCAAATTTCAACTCGGCCGGGTTGAAATTTTTTTATGTAAAATGTCTATTCGTAAAAATAATAATATTTTACAATCAGTGTTATTTAAAATTCAACAGTGCAGTCTACTTACAGCACTTATATTGCAACTTAATGTTTTAGTAATTACATACAAACTATTAGAAAGCAAACGAAATATTGCCCTTGGTGCTTATTTATGCACACGAAAAAATAACTTGCAACGTAAGAAGAAACTTGCTAGACAAAGACTTATGAACAGAAAATCTAGAAGTTTATGGGTGAAAAAGGGGAGAACTGATTTATGGTGGCAAAATATGATTGGACCAGATGTCCCTGAAACTTGAAATTTCCGAATGACAAAGGGATGTTTTTTAGAGCTTGCTGCTATTATAGATACTGTTGTAAGTCCTCAACCTAACTGTCCAAATTATCGCTTTTTAACTACACACAAAAAACTAGCAATAACCATTTATTATTTAAAGGATACTGGTTCCCTTTGGATGACAGCCAATGTTTTCGGCATTCATCAATGTACTGTTTCAAAAACTGTAAAAGTTGTATGTGATGCCATAAACAATATCGTTGGTCCTATATATTTACATCTACCTAAAAATAAAGAGGATATGACAAAATTAGCTTCACAGTTTGAAGTAAAGTTCTTCATGATACAAGCCTTTGGATGCATTGATGGCACTCATGTCCAAATTAAACGTCCTATTAAAAACGGTCAAGACTACTTTTGTTATAAGCAATATTTTTCATTAAATGTACAAGCGGTATGCAATAGTAAAGAATATTTTATTGATGTTGAATGCAAATGGCCAGGATCTGTACATGATGCAAAGATATTTACAAATTCCACTATCAATAAAAAATTAGAAAAAAGGCACACTACCTCAAACATTGTACAGTTTACCTAATTACCATTCAATTCCTAACTATTTGATTGGAGACCCAGCCTATCCATTAACAAACTTTTGCATTAAAGAGTTTCAAAGTTGTTCAAATAACAAAGAAGTCATATTTAACAGCATGTTACGCTCTGCTAGGAACCAGATTGAATGTGCTTTTGGCAGATTAAAAGCAAGGTGGGGATTTTTAAGAAAAATAGTTGATATAAAAATAGAAACAGTTCCTATTGTTACTTATACTTGTTTTGTTCTTCATAACTTTTGTGAAAAAAACAAAACCTATGACCTAAATGAAGAGGAGGTTATTCAGCAAATTATAAAACATCGAAGTGATGCATTGGAAAGCCCAAACCTTCCTGACAGTATTTACTCTGCTAATAATCCTGAAGGTGAATATATACGCAAAGCTATAACAAAATATATATCAGAAAATTTATTCAGGGACTAAAAATACAAAAAGCTTATATATAAAAAAACTAAGGAAAATGTGAAATCCTTTTTTGCAGTTAAATTACAGTATTTTGCTAAATTATTGTAATTGTTGCGTTTCATTACAAACTTGTTATAATTATTAGTAAGAAAATAATTTAAATTTAACAACAAAACAAATGAAGTTTTACAAGAAAAAAAATATTCATAAGCAATAAAAACAAGTCCATTATATTGCAATCATTAAAGTTACTATATAATGTACTAATTTTATTATACACTTTAATTATTGTTGATTAGTTTTCATTCCCTGAATTAATAATTCCTTTGATCTAGAAAGTCCCTGGGCAACCTGTAAAATAGATTCTGACATTCGCTCGATTGATGCTGAGAATGTTTCATTAGAATGTCTTATGGCTTCAGCGATATCTTTTTTAAATTGAGCATTTTCTTTTGCTTCTTTCAACAAAATTTGATCTCTTTGTGATGCACTCAATTGTCTCTGCATGTGTCGTCGCTTATTGTCAATAAATTTTGAAACAATTTCATTATTGTCATTTTTACGTTTCTTTTTTTTAGCTAAGATATCACAATCAACAGATAAAGTTTCTGGACTCTGTAATAATAAAGAAAAATCAACTACACTATTGTCCTCAATACTGCATGAACTTGAAGCTAGATTTACATTATCTGTATTTTTAACTGTGGTGTCTTCAGTGCTACATGTTAAATTTTCTACATTTCTGTTATTATCCATAATTTCCTTATTAAAACCATACATTGATTTCCCAAAAAATAACGGTTCTATAGATGGAGATCCACCCCATATTTGAACTAGATGATCATAAAATTCAAGTACTATTTTTCCACTTCCACTCCGTCGACCTGATGTTACAGCTAATAAAAAATTCTGACGAATTTCTTTGATTTTTTCTTGAACTCTAGTATAACCTCTTTTAATAAGAGTTATATCAATTTTATTTTGTTCGGATAAGATATTATCGTTAGGACAAACAGGCCCAAACCAACTTGGCTCATGACAGTTAATGTTAGCTAAAGCTTTTCTACAACTTTTGTACTGATTTGATTTGTCAGCATTAAAATCCTTGTTATTATATTCCATTTGAGATTTAAAATTTGATAAACTCTGTATTAAATTTGAAATTTTATTGTCTTTATTCCAACGAAATTGAACTTCTACGCTTTCTTTTATCTTTACTTCACTTACTAGTTTTAGTGCAGCCATCTTTAATTTTACATTAATAATGGAAATTGTCAGGGCTGAAAATCCTGCCTCGGTTTTATAAAACGGGCTAGGATATTGATCCCGGGGGGAATTTCATCCCGCTCATCATATAATACTAAATTTGAATTTGTAAGAAAACAAAGTGTTAGGCGGGGGGAAATTTCGGTCCGGATAAGCAGGCTGAAACCTAGCCTGGATTGATTTTTACTCATGTAATGAGCCCCTAAAGTGTTATTACATTTGTAGTCGTAAGTTTATTGTTTTTGTTTTGTAACTTTCTCGCTAGCAAACTTTTAATAATTTGCTCCTTATAAACAAAGTACACAGCTTTGCATGAACTAAAATTTTAAAGACCTAATATTTTACCGGAGTTTGCAAACGCAATTGTATAATTTAACTCTTGATATAAACTTATTACATTATAATTATACAAATATATTTTACAAACAGATGACGATACATATTTTCTCTTTCCTCTATAAACGAAAAAACGCATAAAATATGAGAAAGTTACCCTTTTTAACGCCCAAAACCGTTTTTTTTTTTTGCTTTGACTTGATGAAATTTGTTGCCGATAATAATAACCACTAAGAAAAAAACAAAAATAAAAACAAGACACAAATTGTTTAAACTATTATTATTGTTTTCTATTTAAGTTTACTTTAATTCCTAATGTAATTATTAAATTTAAAACAATTTTTCAGTAACGCACATAATATAACTTGCGCAAATAGCCGTGATCACATTCTCTTACTTGAAAAACGTTTTCGTGGTCGTACGAGAAAAAAAACCGCACGCCTTTCCTGGGAAGGTTTGAATAAGGTAAATATATTAGGAAAAGTTATTCTATCAATAAGAGAAAGGAGTTTGGTTAGAGTAGTTGAAAGGGAATTTTTAAAACTACGCCAATAATCTTCCCACATTTTCAATTTGGTCATGATATAGCGTGGTTCCGGAAGTTCATCCTCATACTCATTTAAAAAAAAAAGAAAGTTGCTTCTCCATTCAGCAACATTTAAAACTTTAGTTGGCATTGCAAAGAATCCATTATAAACAGCAATGTTTCTATTAGAATAATATAACAAATAAAAAAACTTTTTATAAAACCACGTTTTTGTAATGAACTAAAAAGTAGAAAATAATTTTCTCTTGTGGCTATAGAAATTTTTGAAAATTAATTGAGTCGATATTAAGTGACATGAAAACTTTTGATTATGAACTCTTAATAATTACAATAATATTTGTAAAATTTTAAACGAAAAACGTGGTGCGTATCTTGTCACTTTAAATGATCATCATCGTCCTTAATTACTTTAACTATTGCTTCCTTCTTCTGTTCTTTTTTTTCATTAAATGCGCACCACGTTTTTCGTTTAAAATGAGATCCGCAATGAACATACAATGCTTTTGGATAAATAGTTTTTATTCTTACTGCAGCACCGGAACAGTTCCCAGCCATGTTACCAGCACCATCATAACCTTGACCAACACAAAATTTCATTTCTAATCCCAAATCTTTAATACTATTTAAAATTTGGCTGGCTATAGCTTCTCCAGACAAGCCTGAGTCACAAGGAATAAACCCAAAAAATAGTTCACAAATTTCACAATTGTCATTTACAAAGCGTAATACAAGTGGCATTTGTTCCATATTGCAAACATCAGATGCTTCATCTGCTAATATTGAAAAAAATTTAGCTTTTTTGACTTCACATTTCAATTTAAAAACTATAATGTCATTACAAATATTAATCATTTTGAGTAGTTTTAGAGCGATATGTAGCATTTTTTAGAGTACAATTCACAGATTCACCAAACTGTTTTCTGCACAATCAGATATTAATTTCAAAATTGATTGAAGATTGCCAGAGTATTTTCATTCTCATAGTAAAATGAATTATCTCTGTGACCTCGGAGAGGTATATTTTGTTTTCCACACATAATAATTGCCAGAACTATTGGTTTTAATATTTCTCTATTTTTCTTGACTTGTTCATTAATTACTTTGTTGAGATTTAAGTCAATAAAATTTATCTTTTGCTCTATACATTGGCAAAAATGAGTTGTCTTTAGAGTTGCAGTTTGGTGAATTCGTGAACTTTCAGCATGTTTATTAAACTTATTAATGGCTTTTGAATATGCCACAAATAAAGATTTATAAAGCTAAACAAGTTTATTTGCATTATAACTTGATTCTTGGTATCCAAAAATAACACAATTAACACAATAAGCACCTTTTTTAATGTCTAAATATGCAAGCCAAGAGTATAATGAGTGCCAAGAGAATTGAAAGGAACGACCTAATTTATTGGATTCAAAATGAAAACTAAAGCTTGGTTTATAAACATTTTTTAGTAAATCATACTTATCTTTATTGCCTAGTTTATTAATTCCATAAGTTTCATAAAGCCTGATATCGTATTTGTTTACAAAAGATAGTTCACATTTATTTCCAAAAGCAGAAGAACTACTTTTAGAGTTTAAATTTGCCTTACTCGGTGAATGGATATATTTTGAATCGATAGTGTGGAAGAACTTTTTAATTTGATTGGCGAAAATACAACACAATTTTTTTTGTCTGTAGGAAAAGGTGACTTAATAGTTAATTGATCAATTGTGAGTTGTTTTATTTTTTTAAAAGTAAAAAGAATTTTATCTGGATCTAAAATATCTGTTTCCTGAGTAGAATCAGGAAACAGGATACTAGATTTTGAAGAAGTAAGTTGATTAATTTCAGGTAATTTTACTACTTTAGGTGCAAAAATATTAGGAACTTGGTATTTTTTAGGAATACATTTTAAAGATATTAAAGGAACAAAGTGATCTTTGTTTAAAAATATGTTAGAGTTCTGTTTAAAACCTGCAATAACTGAAGAGCAACGAAGAATGAGTATTTTTTTTACAGATGTGCTTAAAGAATGTTCAACATGTGGTCTAACAGAGCAATTGAAAAATTTTTCATAAACGGTTTTTCTATTTCTTTTCCATAAGATATTTCTATCCTTTTCTATAGGATATTTCTATCCTTTTCTATAGGATAATATGATTCAATTGGTATTCCAACAACACTTGAGAGAGCACACAAAGTAAGAAACGAGGAATAAGAATAATTTGTTGCAATATTGATAGATTCTGATATGACACTTAGTGTTCTATTATTTTTACAAAAAGACTTATATGCTTTTTGGGAAATAATAATAGAAAAAGCTGTGTTTTTAACAATTCTTTGAGATTTAGTAACATCAGTTTGAGATAAAATAATTTTGAATAAAAACCTACATTTGTATATAATTCGATACTGGTCAGGCATCTTAGGTATTCTGACAAAGATTCGTTGTCAATTAATGATATAGAACAAGCATTAAATAAACAGTTTCCGTTTGGAGAAGTTCTTATTAAAAAAAAAAATTAATATGAGCGAAGCAACATAATTTATGTTACAGGGTGGCCAGCTAAAAGTAAATTTAAAATTCCAGGATATTTCCAGGATTTTTCAAGGAAATTTTGAGTTATTCAAGGATATATTGATTTTTTCTCGATATAAAATGGACCAGTAAATGCAAAATATATTTCCTTAGAACAAAGCAACTAAATATTTATATTTGAATACGCATATAAATCATATATACATACATATAATTGTTTGTGTTAAATATTAATCATATATACATACATATATTTATGTAAAGTTTGTACAAATAAAATTGTACAAACTCATACAAACATATACATGTATATATATATATATATATATATATATATATATATATATATATATATATATATATATATATATATATATATATAAATATATATATATGTATATATATATATATATATAAATATATATATATATATATATATATATATATATATATATATATATATATATATATATATATATATATATA